CAGCGGCCTGCAGCTCGTCCGCCCCCGCCGCCAGGCCAGCGCAATGCACCGCCGATGGCGGCTCGCAGGCCTGGGGAGCAGATTGCGGAGCCTGGGTACCGCACTCTAATGAAAACGTACGAACTAACACCTATTTATTTTAAACATCTTGCCCGCTTTCAATTTAAAATTTCCTTTAACAACAAAGGGTGAAAACCAGGTGTGATCTTTTCTAAAGAAAGGGAACCAGAGGGGCACCAGGTGGAACTTTTTTTTTGTTCAGCCAATAAAAGAGCAAAAGACTATAGCTTAAAGAGATTGTACAGTCAAAGCACAAATACCAAATATTCTACATGGTTATGTACCCGCTCATGGCAAGAAGCCTTCTTTTGGGAATAAAAAGACAAAAATCAGAGTTCTATGGCAGAAAATAAAAGTAAAACCTAAAGGAAAGTGTCTTTACATCACCTTAGAAGTTCACAAAATGGCTGAAAGATCGATACACAGTAAAACCTACTCAAATTCAGCATTCATGTAGAAACATTTTAATATATACAAGATGCAACAAATATAAAAAAGTAAATTACAATTTCAGTTTATGAACAGAGAGTGCTTTCTGCTTCTTTTGTTTCTTCTTTAATTTGTTTGCATCTTTGATTTGCATTTTTACTTGATCTTGTAGTTGAGAAAAGAAAGCCTGGGATGATTTCAAAACCTTGTCTTTACCTTCATCCTGTCAGTGGACAAAGTATTTGTTATAACCAAGAAATGTACAAACAGTAGCATTATACCACTTATATGTGAGTCACTAATAATGGTATTTGACTTTAAAAAATAATTCTGATAATTGATTTTCAAAGGATATTTTTCACTGCATTCTTGAACTACTCCTGCTATCTAAAGAAATAAGGAGTACATTCCCTTTCTAAGTAGCAATTGGCATGGTCAGTAAGAACGGGCACCAAGAATAGATCCTTGCCCATCACGAGCTACAACTACCTATCTGTATTTTGTGTTCTGCTCTCCTTTTGAAAAGGTAAGCACAAACATTTTAGAAGAAATCAGGCTGGTTTTCCTCTCAGTTTCTGATACCTCAAAATTTCAGATATTTTTTTAATTTAATTTATGAGGCATCACAGGTGATACACAAGTTTACCGATTTTGTTTTGCATGCTATAAAACAATCTGATGAGATTGCAGAGAAGGCTCCACAATAAGAAGTAGAAAATTAAATAGGAATATTCTATTTTGAAACAGCTTAAGTTACTCGAAGCTTATAAAATTCATCCTCAATTATGCATGCAAGTAGGCCCACTTAATCAAGTAGAATGGTTCGAATGCAGGAAATAAGAGCATAAGTCTTAGTATTTGCAGGAACACCACCTTGTGAACTTTGAAATAAATAAAAAAGCAGTACCTAATGCAAACAATCATTTCTGCCTTGTGAATATACTTTGACAAAGTAATTGTTTCATACAGTTTTTTACTATTTTTCCATATCTAAAGGTTTAGTTGCTTACAAATTCAAATATAGTTCATACTCTGAGTAAGCTTCTAAAGGTTCCAACAACAATTTAGGTACGATTTATTCATAATTAAAGCAGTAACATCTACATAAATATGCATTATAAACAAGGTGATCACCGCAAAGTGCAACCAGAGCTGTATTTTTTCAGGCCTCTACACTGACATCATGCTGTCAGAATAATCAGCAAAATTAGGGCTAAGAAGGCATTCAACACTACTTTGCATAAGACAGTTACAAGTATGGGTTAGACTAGTCCTGCCAAAACTGTAGTTCAAAAGAATACAAGGGCAAAGTAAGGGGGGTGGGGGGGGAGAAAAAGAGGACAAAAAAATAAAAAAAGATGCATTTTCCCTTTCTATGCCTTCTTCTTATCTCTTTCTTTCCAGCAGCTACATTTACTTTCTATTTTTGCTCAGACAAAATAAGGTTAACAAGGTTTGGGTGGTAAGCAGATACACTTACTACCTGTGTACAAGAACTTCTGAGGGGATGGAGAAAGATCAGGAGATGTACTTGTGCCAAGAGGGATGGGAGGGAAACAAACCCTGTACTTTGTAATTCTTTGTGATAAAGTTCCCTTTCCTCCCTCTAGCTAAGTATTATCTAACCCTTGCAATTTTAATACTTTAGCTGGGAAGCTCCAAGTTATACAGGACTACTTAAAGAGAGCCTTACCTTGAGCAGAGATGCTTTGCCTTCTTTTGTAAGCCTTTTTAATTTTGCTGCAGCAGCTTTTTTGCTAAGTTTTGTGCCTTGTTCTGGTTTCATCTTTTCAAGAAGCTTTTGACGTTTCTCCTTTTCTCTTCTCTTCATACGTTTACGAAGTTTTTTCTTTCTTTGTTCTCGTTTTCTGTCTGTGGGAGTCTTTTCTGCATCTGTTTTTACATCACCACCTTTATTCTTTTCCTAAAGAGAACAAGATCTCTAGATCCGTAAGTGTGCAAAAGAAAAGACTCACTTCATTGTACTCAAATGTGTCTTAGCATTTCCATTACTTCAAGTCTTCAGCCAACTCAGGGCGATGCCACATTAAGGCAAAGACCAAAATCTGGCAAAAGCTGGGAAGTGAGATTTGTACAACTGGTCAAAGACATGCTAATTGCTCTTCCGTATTGTCACTTAGCTTTCCCCTTCCAAATACCTATATATGTTGGGAAAATAATTACCATCACAACACAAGAACAAAAATAAAGCATAACATTATGGCCTAATGTAGCCAAATAAAATTAACTCTTTCCTCTCCCTCCAGTTCCAGTTATCGAAGACAAAAAAAAACAAAAAAAGGCAACAAAACCAAAACCACCACCCCCTCCAAAAACCCCAACAACAACTAACACTAAAATGCTAGGCAAGAAGATCCACAAGGTAAGGAACTCAGGGTGGGAAGGGACAGAATTCTCCCATTGTATCAACAATACAGATCCTTACATGATTTTTATTTATATTTACCTTGATCTCCTCCGGTGCTAAGAGAGCAGCATCACTAACAGCAACAGGTGCTACTTCTTCCATACTTATAGCTGGAAGGTTCGAAACTATTTTAACTTCTGGCACAGGCTAGAAATAAGGAGACATATTCAGGACCAAGCACACCATCTGTC